CAGCTCTTTCTACGTGCGGAGTGAGGGAGCTCGGCAGTGGTTTTTAATTTCCTAATGAATGAATGTGCCCACTACTTAGCGAACTCCTACAGTATGCTGGGCAGTGGGGCTGTCACGGTGAGTAAGACAGTTCTTGCTGTCAATAGAGCACAGCGCTGAATGAGCTAGGTCAGCAAACAAAGTGTTGGAATACAAAGTAATGGGTAAGGAAGAGTTAGTGTGGGAAGCCAAAGTGAGGGCATTGAACACTTTTCAGGAAAAGTGACCTTGGAGCTGAATCTGTAGGGATCAATAGAAAATTCCTGGGCAGATGCAGTGGCAAAGGGGTATTGGCTCCATTTTTAAGATACTAGCTGTGGGGGTTGCCAGACAAAAGAAGCCAGAGAGATCAGACAGGAGCTGGGCCTCCAAGATTCTCCAGTAAGACAGGTCCACAGCCAGAGCCTTCTGGGGATCTCCAGATTATAGGGTTCAGAACATCTGAGATGAGGAAAAATAAGACAATTCTTTATTCCTTAAAAATGGGTCGAGAGACTTTCAACCTCAGGGCCCAATAAGAAACTCATGGGAGAAGGAACATGTATCTGCCATGGTTGTCACCTCTCTAAACCGTCCCCCCATAGGTTGGTAAGGCTGTAATGCCAACTCTTAATAGCCTGGCTGCATTTCATCAGTGAAAGCTCTGGATGCCATAGTGCCTTTTGTCACAGGTTGCCTGGGGTGATCCATTTTCACGCATTATCTAAAGGTGTGTAACTGGGTGTTTTTCTGAGCTGGACCCCAAGATCTCTTTGCTTAGCCTTGATGGGCAAAAATGGGAAGACTGCCTTTCTTATTTTTCTTTTTTAAGTTCCAAGTTTAAATTATTTTGGGGGCAAACTATACCCCCTTTCCAAACATACCCTAGTGTGTCTGTTGGTTATGAAAAGTGAAAACAAATATCCTACCCTGGAATGGATGTATGTTCAGATGCTGAGAAATTAAGCAACTTTGCAGACGGGTGTCAAAGGCCATCTTTGTAGGTGGAGGTTTATGTTTACATATTATATTTACTTGTAGGAATCCAGTTCCTTCTTCCTGGGTTTGGAAAAGTAGAGACCAGCTCAAGGGAGGTAAACTGTTCCCAGAAACACAGGAGGAGAGCCCGGTGGGAGCATTTGGGTCTGGGTCTCAGGCAATTATGGGTTGTATCAGTCAGGGTCAACAGGAAACAGATGCCACTCTTGAATTTGGAAATGTAGAGGAGGGTTTTTAATAAAGAGACTATTTACAAAATTGGAGGGGTGTAGAGGAATTGCAAGGGATTATACAAGGGGGAGAGGAGAGCTCTATGGGGGGGGGGGCTTCCTGGAACCTGGTGAGAGAGTCCTGTAGAGCAATTGGCTGTAAGAGTGGCCTGTGATGAAAGGACACAGACATTCAGGTACAGCTGCAAAGGGAGCAAGGCGAGCAAAACTCTCCCAGCTCCTGCTGGGGCTCCCACTGGCTGAACCCAGTTAGA